ACTCCCAGAATTCCCCAGCCAGCATTCGCTGGCTGGGGAATTCTGGAAGTTGAAGTCCGGACATCTTCAAGTTGCCAAGGTTGAGAAACACTGCCATAGATAGACTGCATAGTGTTAATATACAAAATTAAGACTCCAGGACCTTCAGTAAGAAAGAACAAGAGTGCTCAGATCAACTTCTAGAAAGGACAGCAGGTAGAAATCAAAAACCAAAGAACATTCTCAGCAATTCATAACTCCGACAAGGTTGGCAATCATGATATAATTCAAAGTACCCCAAAACAGCATTTTAACACAGTGCATCGGAGCAGACAGCAAGACTATATCCCAGCACTTAGCAACTGCTTTTGAGGAAAATAATGTCTCCTCTGGATGATTCCCCACGACTCCATGAACTAAATATAAAGGCGATAATTTCACGGTAAGCCATTTTGCTACAATGATTTAATAAACGATCCCACCCGAAACAGCCAGAGTGGCATTTTGCATCGTTCAACTTTTGACAAAGTTTCCCAGTGGTTTTTTTTTCCAAAGTATTTCAGCAACCCGTTTTAAAAAAAAAAAAACGACTTTGACAATCGGTCTTCGCATTACTCACCCCACTGGAGAGGCACCAACTGCAGGTGATCTAGGACGACTTGATTCAGGATCCCTTCCACGCTGGCCTCCCCTTCACGCTTCAAAGAGGGGTAAATAAGAGTTAAGGAACACTGAAAAGAAATACACTTTACATAAGTCTTTCAGGGAGAATCTGTACCAAGAATTTCAGAGGATGGAGATCACAGTGAGAACTCAGGTCCCACCCCGAGGAAGTCTTCTTCAAATATTTTCCTTTGGATGGGGAAAAAAGAAGCTAGGGTTAGGGAATTTAGGGAATTTAGCCCATGCTGCTCCTAGATGCTGTAGTCAGTGCTTGAACCAAAGAGCTTTAGATAAGCTCTAAAGTGGTTTGTTTGTAAACTATAATTATGGCTTAGCATGCTACCAAGTTTGATGTTTGCAGTAAACTGTTACTCATACAGGACGGCTTCATTGGATAAGCAATCGGTGCCGAAGAGAAATCTGAGTCGTGTTCTTTATTCTGAGTCAAGTAATCCAGATATCATAGGAAGGGACAAAACTACTATAACATCAAGGATGTGATCACTATTAAATCTTTACTGAGCATTCAAGTCTTCCCCAAAATATGGGTTAGAACTGTAATTCCTATGGAGCACGACCAGTGGTGGGATTCAAAAATCTTTACTGCCGGTTCTGTGGACGTGGCTGGGGAAGGATACTGCAAAATCTCCATTTCCACCCCACTCCAGGTGAAGGATACTGTAAAATCTCCATTTCCACCCCACTCCAGGAGAAGGATACTGTGAAATCTCCATTTCCACCCCACTCCAGGAGAAGGATACTGTGAAATCTCCATTTCCACCCCACTCCAGGAGAAGGATACTGTAAAATCTCCATTTCCACNAAACCTCCCACACGCATTGAGCCAATCTGCCCTCCTCCTTTTCTCCCCAACAATGTCTGACTCACTCACTCCCTGTTCACCTTGGGATAGTTTCTCCCCCTCCCCACGTTGCCCACTCGAAGAAGGGACTTCTGTGTGGTTGGATCCTCCCTTAACCTTCCTAACCCCCCACTCCCCTTTGATTCTCCGTTAAGAAGGGTGGTGGGTTTCTCTCTGGTTCCCCCCCCCCCCCGGGGGGGGGGTTTCTCTTCCATTTCTTATGGTACCAAACGGGTTTCTCTGTGAATCAGGGATGGTCTCGGAAGCTTCTCAGTGAGGCTGGGGAAATGGGGTATGGTGGGTGTTGGTTTTTGGGGGGGTTTCCGAGGAAGAAACCCCCTGACAATAAATGCCAAAATTTCTGGTTACTAAAATACCATATTTAAGGCAGGGACACGTGCTTGATAAAACTTACGATTTGAAAGTCTTTTTCTGCACGATTATCATTATGGGGAAACTGGTTCTCAAAAATCTAAATCAGGAAAAAAAATATATGACAGAACAGATGCTTGACCTATAAAGTGGAGAATGTATTAGAAATACTTGAACTTTTACAATTTCCCAGGATCTGCAGATTAGATGCAATTTGGAGATTAAGTACAACTATCCATTTTCCCCTCTAAAAAGCTTTTTTTTCCAAGAGGAAAAATGATGAAAGCTTCACAAACTTAACCCAGAAAGTAATACTGTTACCACCTTTGTGAGATGGAAATTGCAGTGAGAACAATAATGGCATTACATCGCTTAAAAGAAAATGTCACCTTTTCTGAAATGGTACATGCCTCTAATTTGCTTCCTTTCAGAGACAAATTTGAATTGCACTTTTCAAAAGATTTCCTTCCTAACCTTAAGTGCTGCAGAACTAGTGAATATGAGTGAAGAGGAAAATACCGTATTTTTCAGAGCAAGGCGCCCTGAAGTATAAGACGCACCTAGCTTTTGGGGAGGAAAACAAGAAAAAAAAATCTGCCTCTGCCTCCCAGCAATTTGCCTCCTTGCAGCAAATAGCAAACAGCCCATTTCAGTTTCAGCACAGCCTGTTTAGGACAAGCAGCTGGTTGTTGGTTGGATCGGCCTCCCAACAGCCCTCAGCTGTTTCAGGCTGCAGTGATTACCATACCCATTCCGGGCAGCAGGGATCGGAATAAGTGGAAAATGGGGCACGTGGAGGCTGAAAACGCGGTGCGCAGAGGCCAAAAATGGGATGTGGAGGCCAAAAATGGGGCGCACAGAGGCAGCATTGTGAGCCGCCCTGAGTATTGTGAGCCGCCCTGAGTCCCCTTCGGGGAAAAGGGCAGCATATAAATGAAATCAATTTAATTCAATTCAGCAATAGGCAATGGCAATCCTTGCAGCCTGAAACAGCTGATCGTTGGGCGGCCGATCCAACCGAAAATCAGCTGCTTGTGCTAATCTCTGTGGCTGCTCCGGCCCTCTGGAACGATCTGCCAGTGGAGATTCAGACCCTCACCACCCTTCAGGCTTTCCGTAAAGGCGTTAAGA